ATGTGGGTTCTGGCCACGCCGTCGTCGTAAGACCTGCGGGCGGGTAGGGTATCCAGCTTTTGGTCCTTTCTTACACCCCCCCCCCAAACCATGCCAACGGTGAGGCATCCAATTACTCTGTCGACCCTGACTTGATTGATCTGGCTGGATTGGCGGCGGATTGATTGACTTGGTCAAGGCCTGGGCCGAGTATGCGAGTATGAAAATGCAGCCTCACTCCCACCGGTCATTATCTCCTCGCTAATCTTCCACCCTTTTGTGAGTGGCTGAGGCAGCAGAATGGTATCCGGGGAAGGAGAAGCGACCGAATGAGACCATACACCGCAGTCATCGAGGACCTGAGCGAGCCAAGCGAACGTTGCGAGCTGAAGGAGGACATGTCATGGTGGCTGCGACTGAGTCTCGGATCTATTAAGGGGACTCAGGCTCGGGCTCGAAGGGCCGGAGGAGAGCAAACAAACGCGACGAGCGTCAACAAACTTGGTCTTCCCAGATGCAGCGAGCATATCAACAGGCCAGTTTTCTGTATCACAGCGATGCGATGGTGCCATTACGAGCCATGTGTTGGGATACAGCGGGCATAAAACTTAGGGACTGCCCTTTTCCTTGCCCCCTCCCCCCGCTCTGGAACCGATCACAGCAGAGAGGGCGGACACAGCATACAAGGCATGTCGAAGATATCGTCCCCTCGCAAGAGAGCTGAGTTACACCACAGAGGAGGTGGTCTGCCTCTAAACCTGTCACCTGAGGGACGCAACCTCGAAGGCGTTAGCATGGCGTGTACGGCAGCTACCCCTGAATTAAAGAGACAATGGCTTCTGCTCTCCAAATGGAGCCAATAGGGAGAGACATGCCAGGAGGGAGACGCCTGTGCAGGAGGAAGGACAAGGCTATCTCGCTTTCGTATCGAACGAGGGAGCGGTCAAGTTGGCACAAGCACACCTTTCAGCGCGTGGTCACGGCCGGTCGAGTTGTTTAGGTGAACGAACCCTCATATGTCAAGCGAACCCAAAGACGATAGAGGGATGCCGCAATTCCGCTCTCCCACCGCCCCTAGGACGACGCCTATAAGAAGAGACCTCCTATCCCGCGAATGTATGACCGGAGGGCCACGCGACGATCTTCCCCATGATATGCAAGACGACTGTTGCGAACTTGAACCCTCCCCAAGCCACTAGGTCCTGCTTTTGCGCTCCGCGCCCTGATTCGACCGGAACTTCCTCCTCGGAATCCCCCCGAGCCATCAGGCTTTTACGTGCCCGTCATGTCCCACAACCGTTGCATTGACTGGCCAGTCGGTGCTGAGCACGAGAAGTTTGTGCCCTCGCGCAGGATTGTTGAGCTAGTTCGACTTTCTGACTTGATGGGGGTTCTCCTCTGCCCTCTCCCTCTCTCTAGCAAGCAGCAGCAGCTTCCTACACGGGACTCCGGGGCCAAGAATCACTGCACACCGTCCGGTGCGATGCTGGAGGGGTGGAAGAAGGAAGAAGACCCGAAGAACCTCCCCATCAACGAGGTCCTGCTTGGCAAAAGTGTAGGCTACTCTCGTTTCTTCTGCAACGACAGCGTCGAGAGCGGTTCTGTCAGCTGACTGACCACCTACTCCGTTGACCAGCTTTCCGGGCAAGGCAATGCCACAGGGACTGAAACTATTATGCTCTCAGTAAATGCTCGCCTGTGATTTGGCACGATGAGGTCTGCTTCGGACAAGCTCTTCCTTTCAAGCGCGCAGTTCATGCGGGCATTTTTTGTTTGGTTATCTGTGTGAGATTTTAGGGGCTACTTTTCGCAAAGCTTCCATGAACTGTACATATATTGAAACCCTGATGAGTGTAGGGCATTTCCCATTTGACCCATTTTGGTTTGCTTGTTTTCCCCCAGATAATGGAAATGACACAACTATCATCATCGTCATCTCCTATCGCATGTCCTTTGCCTGCAGGAAACCGCATGAATGTCTGGACAAAGAAAAAGAAAAAGGCCACCAACCCCTTCCTTCCACCAGCAAACGCCTATACTGACTCGACCACCTCATCCGCGTGGAAGCCGTTTACTGTAAGAGTCACAGCCCCTGCCTGAACCAGCTGTGGCACAAGTTAGATTCGGCTGGGTTGCAAAACCTCAAGTTTGGGGGGTGGGGGGGGGGGGGGGGGGGGGGTCGGGGGGGGGGGGCGGGGGGCTGGGTGCGCCCGACACAACAAAAAAAAAAACAATAACACCCACGAGGCCCACCCACAGGGGGATGATGTCAGCGGG